CATGTCATTGAGGACTCTGAGAACACCATGTTCTCTCTTGCCTCTATGTGTTTATATATATTATGCTACTGCCTGAAATACCCTTGCCTCACTCTCTCTGTTTTTAAAGACTTAGTTCAAGGGCCACTTCTAGAAATCTCTCCTTACATTTCTAATCAGCCAACCCTGAAGGTTTCACCTCTCTTATGTTCCCACAACTTCTACACCTCCTTCTAGCCAGATATTGTTGTAAGCATTTGCATCTTTATCAAAACCATATAAGGTAAGTACTATTATTATTCCAACTTACAGATGAGGAAAACAAGGCTCAGAGAAATTAACTAAACTGCCCAAGGTCAGACAGCAAAGACACAGATCTGAGAATTGCGTCCTGACAATCTGGCTGCAGTCTGCGTGCTCACACATTATACTACTGGTATGCAATAAATTCTTGATAAATATGTGAGTGAACACAACCAATGAAATGTAGTAAGCAACTAAAGAAAAACTTCTGTGTACCCCGAAATCCTGGACTAGAATCCAGGCTCTGCCATTTACTGACTGTGAGATACTGGAAAGTTTAAGTCTTAGTTTCCCCTTGTGTAAAATGGAAATGACAGCTCCTTTGTAGGTTATTGTGAAGATGTACATAGCTATGGATAGAGTAGGCACCCAAATTAACAAATTAAATAGTAGGCGTGAATGTATGTGTAACACGAGGTACACACAGAGTAGTTGCTCAGAAAACATTTTACTATAATTAGGTGAGAAAGAGATGTGAATCTAATAATATAAAAGATAACATTTATTTCATGCATTATTAATATGTGCCAGGAACTGCGTAAATTCTCAACAAACCTTGACTGATTTCACAACAACGTGACAAAATTAAGTGCTATGATTCTCCCTGTTGTACAGATAAGGAAACAGAGGACTGTGGAAGGGTCTATCCAAAGACACACAGCTAAGTAGTAGTAGGCCTGGATTCAAACCCAGTCCTGATTCTAGAGATGGAGCTCATTAGCATTACATTTTCTCACAACTGCCTCAGACAATACAGTGGGTAGTTTTGAGCTTGACAGATGGAACAAAGGGGGAGAAAGAATGGGGGTAGAGGAATGGAATGAAGAGGCTACTATAGGAGTTCAATTTGGGGCAGCTTGAGTGTGTGGTGCCTTGGTGTACCCAGGTAAAGTTATTTAACAAAGTTGAAATACAGGATTGGAGCCCAAGAGAGAGGGTAAACTGAAAATAAATGTTTGATGGTAGTTTAAATTATGGGAAAAGATAAAATCATTCACGGTGAATGTATAAAAGGAGAAGGGAAAATGGACTTGGAAAAGTCCTTAAAAACCAGCTCTTAAGAGCAGTTGGAAACAAGCCCATAAAAGGCACTGATAAACAGTCAGAAATGTAGAGAACTGGGGAGTGTGTAGTCGAGACCACAGAAGAGAGGAGGGACTGGCCAATTAATTCATTTAGTCAACAAATATTTATTAAATGTCAGGAACTGTTTTAGGTGCTAGGGGTATATTAGCAAACAAAAGACAATAAGCCTTGCCCTTGTGGAGTTTACATTCTAGTCAAGGGAGACAGATACATAAATACATAATTTATGTGTATAAATACATCATATATAAATCTATAAAATATGTATGTATATGAATACATAAACATATAAAATGTCAGGTGGAACTAAGCACTATGAAGAAAATAAGGCAAAGTAAGGTAGGCTAAAAAATAATGGGAGTGGGAGGAACCACTATGGAAATCTGCTCTGAGGTGAATCTTCAAATAGCCTCAAGAAAGTGAGCACAGGAGTCCTGTGGCTATCTTGGGGAGAAGTACTGTGCAGAGGGAACAGGAAAGAAAAAGCCTTGAGGGTACGTGTGCTTGGGTGTGGTTGAAGGAGATCAAGAAGGCTAGAAATGCTGGAGTGGTGTGAAGGAGGGTAGGCTGTTAGATGAGGCTGAAAGACTGGAGAGGACATTGCAGTTTATATAAGACTTTGGCTTTTATTCTGAGTCGTATGAGGAGACTTAGAAAAATTCGACAGAGGTGATAGGATTTGAGTCCTGATTTAAAAGGATCACTCTGGTTGCAACGGCGGAGATGGTAGAGCAGAGAGGAAACTGCGGCAAAACTCCAGGTGAGGGATGACAAGGCCTGGACCAGAGTGTTAGAAGTGGGAGTAGCGAGGGTTGCTTGGATGGCTCAGTTGCAGTTAACCCTCTGACTCTTTTTTTTTTTTTTTTCAACGTTTATTTATTTTTGGGACAGAGAGAGACAGAGCATGAACGGGGGAGGGGCAGAGAGAGAGGGAGACACAGAATCGGAAACAGGCTCCAGGCTCTGAGCCATCAGCCCAGAGCCTGACGCGGGGCTCGAACTCACGGACCGCGAGATCGTGACCTGGCTGAAGTCGGACGCTTAACCGACTGCGCCACCCAGGCGCCCCAGCCCTCTGACTCTTGACTTTGGCTCAGGTCGTGATCTCATGGTCCCAAGACAGAGCTCCGTGCTGGGTGTGGAGCCTGCTTAAGATTCCTTTCACCCTCTCCTTCTACCCCTTCCCCCTGCTCACGTGTGTGCACATGCACATGCTCTCTCTCTCAAAAAAAAAAAAAATAGTGGAAATAGTGAGAAGTGACTGGATCCTAAATGTGTTGTAAACATTGAGCCAACAGTATGTCCTGGCATCCAAGTAGAAATAAAAATCTGGAGTGTGGTGAAAAGTCTGGCTGAACATCCTTATTTGGGAGTCACTGGGGTACAGATGACACTTAAAGCCATCGGACTAGTTGAGATCTCCTAGGAAGTGAGAGTAGATGGAAGAGAGGTCTGACCTCTTCAATATTTAGAATTTGGGAAGAAGAGGACCAGCAAAGGTAGAAGAAAAACCAGCAAAGAAAGTAAACAAAGAGTGATCCATTGTGTCTCATATAAAGTAGCATAAGCAGGGGCACTTGGGTGGTTCAGTCGATTAAGCATCTGACTCCTGATTTCGGCTCAGATCATGATCTCACCGTTGGTGGGATTGAGCCCCACGGCTCTGTGCAGAGAGTATGAATGGAGCCTGCTTGGCATTCTCTCTCTCTCTTCCTCTCTCCCTCTCCGGCTCACACATGCTCTCAATCTCTCAAAATAAATAAACATAAAAAAAAAAGTAGCATAAGGAATAAAAAGTGACCATGGATTTGACAATCTGAAGGTCACTGGCAATCTTGACAGAAGTTGTTTTCATGAGGTGGCACGGACAAAAGCCTGATTGCAATGTGTTTACAGAGAGGGTAAGAAGAGAAGTAGAAACTTGCGTGTTCTGGTTCAAAGAGAAGCAGAGAAAGGGCCAGTAGCTGGAATGTAATGTGCAGTCACAGGTGTCTTTTGTTTTACGTTGGGAGATGTTACACCAATGTCAAATATTACAAAAGGACCAAACGAATTTAGGACATCTTATTGGGGTGTCAGGCCTAAGTGAGTAACAGTAACAACAAGATTTCCACGAATAAAGAATTAATGAAGCATTAGACAAAAGAGCACATGCAGATTTCATGGAGACAGGAGAAATAGGAGACAGTAAGAAGGTGACAGAGGGAACGTTTTCTGTTTTTTAATTCACAAAGGCAGAAACCTGCCTGTGTGGAAAGAACTAGTTGAACGGAAAAGGCTGAAGAATGCGGAGAAAGGGTAACTGATGGCGCAGGGACTGGTTTCCGGTAGGAAAGTGGTCACATGACCCTGAGAAGGGAAGGGAAGGGTAAGGCGGGTTAAGGGTCCAGGTGGCCCAGGCTCAGCTGAGGTCTCTAGCTCGCCCGCAAATGGCAATGAAAAGGTTCTTCTAACAGGCATTCTCGGTTTGAGAATAATAAGGGTTAAAGCTGTGCGCCCCCTACAGGCACCCAGACGGGCCGCGGAGAAGCAGGGGTGGCGTGCTGAGGCCACACGGCTGCACAGCATACGCAGGACTCCGGGGTGGCACAGAGAGAGGGGATGGACGTGGCTGGCCGGGGATTTTGAAACGTGTCGGGTGGACGGGCAGGGTGAGGACGGACGTAAGGCAGCGGACTTAGGGCTAAGAGGGTGCGTGGGGAGCCAGCGGAGGCCCAGTGGGGACATGAGGTCGAGGCCCAGGTGGCCTGGGGCTGGGGGCTGTGGCCAGAGTGACGCTGGGTCTCAGGGGAGGGATGGCTAGACGGGGAAAGGGGGTGAGCAAGCCCGGGGCGGAACGGGGGGCCAGACCGGTGCCAAAGCCAAGGGAACGCGGGGAACAGGAGACTAAGGGGGTTGGGCGAGGGGGCGAGCGGGGGAGGGGGGGGAGAGCAGGAGGGTTGGGGATCACTCGGGGCGTGAAAGGCTCGGGGTCGCAGGGGTCCCGGGCGCCGCAGAGCGCACAGGCGTGCAGAACTCCAGGGCCTGGAGTCCGAAGAGTCCGCTGGGGTCTGGGCCCCCCTCGGCTGAGACCAGAGGGGCGCTGGGGTCACTGAGGCTGTGTGAGGGCGAGGGGCGCGCGCGCGGTGGGAGTCCCGGAGCGACGGGGCGAGAGGCCCTGGGGCCGCTCCCGGTGAGCGGACGTCAGGAACCGGAGAGTGCGGTCTAGCGAGCGCAGGTGCTCCAGCTGTGGCGGCAACAGGTTGTGCGGGAAGGTCCGGGGTCTGGGATGTGCAGTGTGTGGTGTCTGCAGGAGGGGGGGGGGCGACGAGACTGGGGTGAGGTGGGCGGTGCGGAGTGAGGAGACACGTGGGGGGGTCGGGGTGAGGTGACAGGGGGGGGGCAGGGGTGGGGGGGTCGGGGTGAGAAGACTGGGGTGAGGAGACCCGTGGGGGTGGGGTGTGTGTGGGGGGAGGAGACTGAGGTGAGGGGGGGTGCAGGGTGAGGGGACACGTGGGGATGGGGGGTTGGGGGGAGGAGACACGTGAGGGGTGGGGGTGTGGGGGCGAGGAGACTGGGGCGAGGTCACGGGTTACGTCGTGATAAGGAGTGGGGACGCTGCGGTCAGGGCGCGCAGCGAGGGCGTGGCTCACCTCCCGCACCGCCTGCGCTCGTGTCAGGATCCGCCGTCCACCTACGCAGCCTGGGGCACGAGGTCCAAGCTCGGAAAGGCACCCCGCCCCTTTCCGTTGCCAGATCCGCCCCCAGAAGTGGCTTCTCGCCCTCATTGGCCAGTCTCCCGGAGCGGAAGGGGCGGGGTCACAAACACGTGAATGCGCCCACTTCTGGCTGGTCCCAAGTGTCAGCCTCCAGGTCTCATTGGCTACTCTGTAGAGCGGAAGGGGCGGAGTCGTCTCCGGCTGGTCTCGCACGTGGGGCTCTGGGTCGCAGATGGGCCGAGTTCCCAGACTGAGGATTGGCTGACATCTCGGGAGAGCAGAATTGCAGCGAGGGTCCGCTGGTGGTCCTGATCGTTGTGTTCCTCTCTGTGGCTCATGAGTGTAAGGTATGCACTCAGGGCCCTGTCTGCTTGACCACTGTGCCCCCAGTGTTCAGGACAGCACTTGGCACGGCAGGTGCTAGTAAATATTGGTTCAATTAGTTCGACGCCCAAATATATTCAGTCTTGACAACTACAGTGCTGGCGGACATTGTTGCATCTGTCTTACAGAGCAGGAAACAGAAGAAGTACATGCAACTGGGGAGAGTGTGAGCTCTGGCTCCAGTCCAGGCCTGCCAGGCATCACTGGCCTCCAGGCGGTGGAAGCACATAGCCCCAAGTCAGGACAGGCAAGAGAACCGCTCACGGTTCTGCACGTTAAGCTGTGGGTCTGCACGTTAAGCTGTGGTCCAGAGGAGGCCGGAGAGATTGCTCACACCTCAACAGGCCAGTCTAAGGAGCTCAGTCTTTACTTAGAGGGCACTTCGGAAGGGTGGGAGGCAGAGGAGTGACATGGTGAAGAGGTCTCTCTGGCTGCTGGAGGGAGAGATGAAACAGACTGTTGCTGTGTGGGTGAATGATGTTGGAGACGTGGACGGGGTGGAGGGAAGTACACAGAGTAGAAGCCTTTTAGAAGATGGACTTGACGGGGCTTGGTAATGTGGGAAGTGAAGAAGAAAGAAGGAATGGGTTGGTGGCTGTCTGGAGGGTGATCACTGGCTGAGTTGGGGAGCAGTGGGGGAGAAGCTGATTTGGAAGGCTGTTAACCAGTTTTGAACACTTTGAGATTCCAGATAAACCTGGGACCCACTGAATTTTCTTTCAAGGACTCTGATTTTTAGCCGACTGATTGCAGAATAGGAAACAGAGCTATAACTGAGCCAGACAGTTCTGGGCACAGAGTATTTGCTCATCTCTTGAGGCCATACCCCCTCCCCAAGCTGGCAGGTTCCTGCCCCTTCTGAACCTGGTTCCCTTGCTGTCCCTTCCCGCCTGTGAGCCACCCTGCATACTTCTATTCCTTCCACCTTTGCTCAGACTTCCCAGAGCTGATTCCTGTTACAGCATCTCAGAAAAATACTAATCAGCAAGAACTCTGATGGGTGATGAAGACAGCTTCAGGAAAGAGTAGGAGTTTACCAAGATGAGGACAATACAGGATTTCAGGCAAAAGTTCTATCAAAGGCAAAGGCAAGGATGTGAAAAAGCCTTCTTCATTTAGGGAATGGAGAGTTTGGTTGGGGCTCAGGATTCTTGAGTTGAGGCAGAAGATCATTTGGGCTGGAATGTGAGGGCCTTGGGTACGCTGCCTAGTGGGTGAGGTGGGCTATCTGAAGAACCCTGCAGAGCTCAGGCCAAGAAGGATGGGCTCTCGGTAAGGCCAGAGGTGTCAGTCTGGTCTTCCCATGCCCCTGTGCATCCAAAACCAGCTAACTATTCACCAAATGTTTTCTTTATATCCTTGTCATATAGCCAGACTGTATTTTCCAGCCTCCCTTGCATTATGAGCCCTGGCCAGTGAATGTGGCAGTAAGTGCCCTGTATCATTACCAGGCCAGATCCGTAAAAGCTTCCCACGAGTGATACTTTCTCTCTCTTCCCCGTGTACCTGCTGGATGTTCCTGTCCAAGGCAACTTGGGACCTACTTGAGGAAGGCAGGGCTTCTGTCAGCATGCCTTTGAATAATGGTATGGAGCTGAGTCTCCATCTCAGCCAACTGAACAAGAACTAAATTTCCCTTGGGTTAAACCATGAAGATGTCAGGATTTATCTGTTATGGCTGCTAGCCTTTACTAGTGCAGATCTGTAAACCTATGAGAGACAAGTAGCTTGTTCAGGTTTGATGGGTTGTCACCAGAGATTTATATCTTGGTTTAGCACTATGGTTTCTCCTCTTACTTATTTTAACCAAGAACAAATCAGATAAAAAAAAAAAAACAAAAAAAAACCTTTGGATTTCAACATTAATTAAAAGCCAGCTTTTTGGAGACCCTGCTTACTGATCTCCCAGGGCTGGGTGAACTGATGAGCCCAGACACCTGCCAAAACCCAGACACCTACCCAAGGTAGGTTACACAGACACCCAGAGTGGCAGAGGTCTGTGAAGATATTTTTGGAAGACCAAGAAAGCTCTGAAATGGAACGTAACATTTTGTGAGCTTAGATTTAGTTTTATAAGCTTCTCACTGAGACTCAAAGGAGGTTAGGAGTCTCTGCCCTGGGAATCCTCTCATGTGCTCTTAGGGTTTTAATGATCTTCAAAGTTGTTCTCAGGAGCCTACATCTACTTAGCTTTCAAGTTATGTTTTGAAGAGTCTGAGACATTTTCACGAATACTCCCTGTAGGCACATCAAACTCAACATTTAAAATTTTCATCCAATATCCCAATCACCCAAAGCAGAAAATATGAATATCTTTGGTGCCTCCCTATCAGGTTTTTCAGACCTTCAACATTCTCAGTTTCCTGAGACTCCCTTCTTTAGTCTAAGTCCTGCCATTTCTCCCAACCCCGCCCCCCCCTCCCCACCAAGAGCAGTAATGACAGGTCTCCTTTCTGTCCTTACCAGCCCCTACTTTGTTATTTTTTTTAAGAATTAAAAAAAAAAGTTTATTTATTGAATTTATTTATTTATTTTTGAGAGAGGCGGGGAGAGGGGCAGAGAGAGAGCGAGAGAGGGGGGGAGAGAGAGAGAGAGAGAGAGAGAGAGAGAGAGAGAATCCCAAGCAGTCTCCACAGTGTCAGCAAAGAGCCCGATGTGGGGCTCAAACTCACAAACCATGAGATCATGACCTGAGCTGAAACCAATAGTTAAATGCTTAACTGACTGAGCCACCCAGGCACCCATATTTATTTATTTTGAAAGACAGAGCATGAGTATGGGAGGGGCAGAGAGAGAGGGAATCCCAAGCTGACGCCACACTGTCAGCACAGAACCTGACATGTGGCTCGAACCCATGAACCATGAGATCATGATCTGAGTTGAAATCAAGAGTCAGATGCTCAACTGAGTCGAGTCAGGTGCACAACCCCCCACCCCCCGCCATTGGTTCTAATGTCATTTAGGTTGGCCATGATGATCCCATTAAAATTTAGGGCAGGTTATATCACCCTCTGCTCAAACCTCAACGTCTCCCCCATCAATTCAGGGAAACCAGACTCTGGCACAGTCCACC